CGGCAGTCGGCTCTGCGCGATGTCAAGCTCATGGGCCCGGCTGGCTTCCCCGAGAAACGCGCCCCAGCAGGCATCCAGCGACGACAAGTTCCGGGACGACCCTTTTGCCGTCGTCTTCGAGGCCGGTCCAGCCAAGCGCGACCTCCGCATCGACCCCGGCCCTTCGATGCCGACTTTGATTACGAGTTTGTAGACGCTCACCCCAACAAGGAACTCGTCTTCTACTTCCGCCCCGACCGTGTCCTCATCCAGGCCGATCTGTTTTTCAACCTGCCTGCCACCGAGCAATACTCTCGGGTACCCGACGCTCAGAAAGCTCCTGGTCTTGCCGATAGGCTGTTCGGCAGCCTGCAGACGACCGAAGGCGACGGCAAGTGGGCGAGGCGCGTCCAGTGGCACCTGTTCAGCGCCAAGGACCGGAAGGGCTACAGCGAGAGCGTCCGTCGCATTGCCGAGTGGGATTTTGAGACGGTCATTCCCTGCCATGGCGACACCATGGTCGGTGACGGTAAGGAAAGGTTCCTCAAGGTCTTCGCCTGGCATCTGAATGGTGGGAAGAAGCTCTAATCACCTAGTCCGTCATGTTCTCGTCACGTTCTCGTCATGTACAACAAAGTGTTTTTCCTGTCGTCTCTTTGATACCAGTTTCTTCTATCATAAACCTGTCAATTCATACTCATAATAAGTGTACATGTTTACTACCTATGTTCACGTTGACGAAACTCGCCATAGCTCAAGCCAACTCATGCCGTCCCTGCGTGCCTTGAAAAACGGGAGCCTCGAACCTCCGCGGATCCTCGGGCGCCTCGGCCCTCCCTGCTGTGGTATGTCCCACCGGAGCCTCGAAGACGGCCGAGTCGGCGCCGGCCTCCTGCACATCCCGTGACACAGTCGTCGGCAGCTCGCTACTGCCGGACACGGGGCTCCATGGGCCAGCGGAGCTGGGGGTGCCCTTTTCACCGTCGGCATCGGTCGGGCTGGACGCTGCGGCGGCAGCCTCGTTGGCTTCAAGAGCGTCCGCAGCTGCCTTTGTCTTTCGAACACGCCGGCGCCAGAGGAAAAAGAAGATGAGGGCCGCGAGGACACCGAGACCGCCGACACCGATACCGACGCCGAGGCCAATTTCGAGGGCGTTGGAGTCGCCGCCGCCGCCAGAGCCGCCGCCACCGCCACCGCCATCGCCGCCCGAGCCGGACTCGGCGGCCGAGGTGGCAGCGTCGGCGGGTGAAGTGGAGGTCTGGGAGGCGCCGCCGGATGTTGCCGAGGAAGAATCTGACGTGGACGTAGGCGACACACCTATCGTGGTCACGGCGGACGGGGCGCCGCCTGGATATGGTTGTTAGTTGGTGGGGTACGTTCATGCGTCACGCGGAGACAGGGGTCGGCCGAGCTTGGTTTGCGGTGCTTGGAGTGGAACGGCGGCCGGCGCTCGAGCGTTGTTTAAGCTTCTTGCTAAGCTTCGGGGAAAACAACAAGCATATCTGCTTCCCGTCGGCTGTCTTGGCGCGCGCGGTGCGCGAGGGGACCAAAAGTCGAGAAGGAAAAGAAAAAAAAAAGTAGTAGTAGAAAACAAAAACAGGACGGAAAGAGAGTTGGAGGGGGAGAACGTACCGGAAAAGCGGATGACCTCCTCTTCCTCGTCGCAGTCGGCGGCGTCGTCCGAGTTGGCGCAGTAAAAGGCGCCAGGCACGGCCTGGCATGCGGCGATGGGCTGGGGCACGTTGAGGTCGTCGAGGTCCTCGGCATTGGTGCACCACCGCGGGCAGTCGGGGCTCGTCCAGGTCTGGTCGGTGCAGGCGCCGCGCATGAGGGTTGCGCCGGCGAGCTGGGCGGGATCCTGCCCGGCGGCCATGCAGAGGCCGTTGCTCAGGCAGGCCCAGCCCTGGTTGCAGCAGTGCGAGTGCGTCGTGTCGGCGCCGGCGCCGCCGCACGGGGCCATGTCGGCCGCGGCGGCGGTGCTGTTGGGGAAGAAGCAGGGCGCATCCGTCGACTGGGCTGCTGTTGTCGGGAGGAGAAGGGCGAGGGCGGCGGAGACGAGGAGGAGGAGAGGCGGGAGGCCATGTGTGCTGCTGCTGCTACTGCTGCTGCTGCTGCTGCTACCCCTCGGTCCCCGTCTCGCTAGGGAACATGGTGCCTGGCGTGGACTGTTCATCACGTTTGGTTGTTGGTAGAGTCAAAGCCCAGCTCTCGTCGTAGTCATGAAGTGTTGGCGAGCGAGCGTTGTGGCGCCAAGCAGCGAAGCAGCGAGGTTGGCAGCGCTGGTCACAAGATGTGTAGATGTTGATGGTCGTGGTGATGATGGTTTGGATGGTTGTGATGGCGATGGCGATGATGATGACGGTTGACGACCAGGTCGAAACGAACGAAACGGGCATCAAGACATGAGAGTGACCCAAACCCGGAACAAGACATCAACCCCCCCTGCCCTCGAACGCAGCCCAACAGCAGGACACACGCCCTTTTTACAATATCCCCGAGTTCACCGATCGACAACCGGGGTAGCCGTACTCTGCCCAAAACACACCCAGCCCGTGCCCCCCTCTCCCTCTCTCCCCCCTCCCCCCGTCATGACTTTGACTCTTTTTCCCACGCGCGAGACACGGCGCCTCGCCCCTCCCCTGCCCTACTTCTCGCTCTCGTTCACGAAGCGAGGGCCGATCCACTCCCCTTCTGGGTCCGTCCAGTTTCTGGGTCCGTCCAGTTTCGATTTCACCAACCCGGAGAGCGCAGAGAGCACAGAGCACAGAGAGAGGACAGAGAGCGAACAAACAAAAGCAGCGCGGGCGGCCAAGGACGAGCAGAGCCCGCGCCGCTTGGCCCGTGGCGGAGCAGCGCGCCGTTTCGCTGCGTGGGGCCTGGCGTGAGCGGTGGAATCAAGGTTATGGACGATCCCTAGCGCGTGGCCATGCTTTCTTGTCGCCGCTCTCTGCCTCTCTGCTGCCGGCACCAGAACAACCAGTCCAGAGGGAACTGTAGAAGGGTGGAAATAACACACAAGAAAGAATGGAGAATGGCTCTCCTCACTGTGCCAGCTTCAGCACAGCCGGGATG